TCTCTTCACACTGTTGGTGGTTTCTCTTGCTGTGCAGGAGCTTTTTAGTAAGAAGAGATCCCACTTGTTGATTGTTTGTGCTAGTTCATGGGCACATGCGGTTTTGTTCATAAAATCTTTTCCTACATCAATGTCTTATTATTGAGTTTTGAAATGGAAAAAAAAAGGGGGGGTGGGAGGGTAGGTCAATAACAGAATGCTTGCTTATCCTGCTTGAGGCCCTGGGTTCCATCCCCAGCAAGAGAGAGAGGCAGGGAGGGAGGGAGGGAGGGAGAGAGAGAGACAGAGAGACAGAGAGAAACTAATATATGCTACAACATAGATGAACCTTGAAAAACATGGTGCTAAGTCAAATAAGCCAGCTACAAAGATGTATACATCATATGATTCCATTTATATGAAATGTTCAGATTAAGCAAATCTATAAATTGCATTAGTGGTGACAAGGGATGAGGTGAGGGACAACAGGGAGTGGTTGTTTGATGGGTACAGGGTTCCTTTGAGGGACTATGAAAATGTCTTAGGCCTAGAGAGAGGGGATGGTTGTATAATACAGTATTGTGATTGAGCCTAATGATACTGAATTATATGTTTTAAATGGTTAATGGTTAATTTATATTATATGGTTTTACTTCATGTTTTTAAAACCCAGGCTTTTAAATTGGGTGACTGATCTTGAACAAGTTATTTTATGTCTCTAGGCTTCAGTTTCCACATCTATTTTAAGGGATTGGTGTGAAATGAAAGGCACTCATTCAGAAATTATATGTGAAGCACTTAATGGTGTCAGGTGAGAATAGGATAGTGAAAAAGCAGCACGTAGACCCTTCTCTCAGCATTGAGGAATGCATTCTGCCCCATGTGGCAGAAGTTCAATGTGTTAGCTCCACCAAATGTTACCATTACCTAAAGGCTAGAGCTGGTGCAACATTCCAGATTCTTCTGTCTTCTGACTTAATGTGTGGCCTCTGTCCTTATGGTGTGGTACAATGGCAGTTGCACCTTCAGGGGGGAAAGACAAGGAGCCAAGCTTCCCTGAAACCCTCTGGGTGGCTTCTGCTTACCCTTCACTTCCTGCCCAAAATTGGACTGCACAGCTACCCCTGGCTGCAGCAGAAGCTGACAATTTAGACTTTCAGCTGTGCACTTGGCCACCTTGAACAACCCAGATTCTGCTAGTGAGGAAGAAGAGGATGGCCAATAGGCAGTCTCTGCCACAGCCATCCCAACTCTGTACCGAGACTTGAATCAATTAATCATAAATCCATGTAAAATAACAACAACATAAGGACAGTGTGCTGCTCTGCTTGCATATAACCAGGGGTATTGAGTGGTTCTGGCCTCCACGAGAGCTTTTCTGAGGAAGTGATGTTCAAGTTGATCCCTGAGCATGCCTGATCATTCCCAGAAACAGAGATGCAGTGGAGCAGCAGGGCCTCAGCACATAGGAGCTCACCAACCACATGGAGGATTTTCATCCTGATTGTTAAGTGATGGAAAGCCATGGAGAGTCTCTGAGGCGAATGGTGGGATTGTCTGTTGTGAAAGATCTCCCTTGCTGCAGCATTGATGGCAGGCTGGAGAAGGTTGCCAGTAGGATCAGAGATGTCTACTGGGATGCTGGTGGCCTGGGCAAGATACACTGATTGCTGTGACTAGATGGGGTGTCTTTGGGTTCCCCAGAAGCAGGTGATGTGTAGAGCTGTGGGAATCAAGACTGGGCAGGGAAGGAAGTTGGTGGACATCGCATTATCACCCTGGGGAATTGGAGTGTCATCCCACTGGGACACTGAGGAGACAGGTGAAGCACACACTGGAAACAAAGGTGGTAGAGTAATTGGTCACCAATTCCCCAGAAGTCAGAGGCCAGGAAGCAGCATTCATTCCTGGAATTCCAGGCTGCTGTGCTTGGGAGATGAGTGGGCTCCCATAGCTGGACAAAGCCACCAGACGAGAGGTGCAGAGTCAGCAGTGGACAGCAAGGTTGGCAGGCACAGAAAGGGTTAGGACCAGGGAAATACAGGCTTCTCTGAGGGGCATTGGGGAAGGGAGAGGACAGGGACAGGTAAGAGCCATTTAGGTGGTAACATTGACCAGACTTGTCCATGAGCTGGATCCCAGGTGAAATGTAGAACCCGGGATGCCCCAGATGTTGGCCTTGAGCATCTGGACAAAGAAATGAGGGAACGTGAGGTAAGTAGGGTAGAGGAGTTCAGTTTTGGATGTGCAGAATTGAGACCTGAGCACACAAAACAGGGCTGGGAGTGAAGATGTGATTGCTTCCAGAGTGACCAGCTTGTCACAAATTAGCTGAGGCCATTTAGCCATGATCTCCCTTGGAGGGACAATCTTCAGGCCCTGCCCTGGGCAGAGAGAGGGGAGCCCTGGTCCTCCTCAGTCCTCCTGTAGGGAACATTGAGCTGGATCTGCCTGCCCTGACTTGGCCTCAGACTGGGTGGCCTGGTTGGCTAGGGCCCGTTCTCATGTCGGTTTTGTCACAATGCAGGGCAGACTCACTCCTGTAAAGCAAGAGCAGGTGGTTTTCACACCACTCTGGCCAGGTTGCTGGGATCTAGGCAGGGGCTTGGCTAGGTAGGGAGCATATGCCCTACAGGGTCTCAGCACTGCTGCACCCTGCTGGCAGTCTTGTGTAAGAGGCTTCACTCTTCTGCTCCTCAGCTTGCTGTTTCTAAGAGGGAGCAATAACCTATTGACCTCCTGATGCTGTTGTGGGAAAGCAGGCATCTTACAGGAAGGAGCTGCTCTTGTGGCCTCTCTCCAGCTCCTTATGCATCCAGACTGACCTCTGCCATGGCTGGCTGGCATCCACTGCCCACCTGCATGCTCAGCCCTGCATGTGGACGGCACCTTTCCTGTGGGCCACTTGCCTAGCCACATTCTCAAAGCTCTGGCTGCCAAACCAAGGAGGATTCCATGCAGGTGGGTGACAGGGTGGTGGGCTGGCTTTGCCCTTTGTCAAGGGGCTGCTGCTTGGATCTGTTTTGCCTATTGGCCTCTGTAGTTTTCAGGAAGCAAAAGAGGTCTGGTGCTTTGAAACATCGTTTTAAAGCCCTGATGACAGAAGAGGTGGGAGGATGCTGTGTGCTGAAAAGATCTTCAGGCCTGCTGGCCACATGGCTGACAAAGTAAGGCATGGGGATCCATCAGGGATGGTAGAACAGATGTGGTGGCAGAGTGGAAAAGCCCCTAAAAGGCAGAGATCAGAGCAATGAGAAGGGACAGAG